AGCGGCCCCGACGCCCCGCCCCTAGGGCGCGAGCCCCACCCGGGCCTCCGAGCGTCCGCGCGCGGGAGGGGACGAGCCGCGTGGGGGATCCGGGTGCCCCGAGGCTGCGCCGCGGGGGCGAGAGAAACCCACGCCCTTCTCAGGAAAGTTAGGTCGCTGTCCCCAGTCGCCCCTAAGAGGGGACTCCCAGGGCGGCGCCAACCGGAAACAAACGGAGACCCCCCAACATTCTCCGAAAACCGTGGCCCCTCCGTGTCTGCAGCTCCCGAAAGGACCCCCAGGGCTGTACCCCCGACGTGTGACGAAGTGAAACCACCTCCCTTCTCGAAGGAGTGTGAGCCCATCTCCCCTTCTAACGCGGCAACATCCCCTCCCTGCTCGGGGAAGTGTGGGCCCCGTGCCGTCCAGGCAGCGCCCCCAGGCCCACTGTGGGGTGACAGAGCCGCGAGCAGGCAGGGGACGGACGGCGACGCTGGGAGGCTTTGGCAGCAGGGCGCGCGCCTGCCTCTTCTGCGCCCGGCCGGGACCTCCCTTGGAGGAGTCTGCGCTCTGGAAGCTTCTCCCGCAGGCCCGGGGCCGGGGCTGGAGTAGATGGGGGTCTGGGGGTGGGGGCGGGGAGGCGGGAAAGCGCTGGCCGCCCCCATCCGGGCCGCTGGGCCCCGGTCCCGGTCCTGGGCTGCTCGCCCCACGCTGCGCTCGTCAGGCCAGACCTTCCCCGCCCCGACCCAGGCCACAGCCGCAGTGCGACTGTCGTCCGTGCCAGGGGAACAAGATTCCTGTTTTCAAGGCCGGGCCTAAAATCCTGTGGGTTTTCCTTCAGGGTGAGGGAAGCAGCAACGTTCCACGCTCCGACCCCACCCCGTCCAGCCACCGGCCAGCTCCCACCGCAGCGCACCGCCCGCCCCGGCCCCTCCTCCAACCTGTCTTCTGCGGCCACCTGCCTGCCGCGCCCCCAGGCCACCTGCGCGCCTGGGTCAGACACACCCGAGGCCACCTGCGCGCCTGGGTCAGACACACCCGAGGCCTGAGGCTCTGGCTCGACCCCCCAGGGCCCCCCGGGGGAGTTTGAAGGATGCGCTTCTTACAAGGGCGGCGGTCTGAACTGGGGAGGGGGTTTTCCTGTCTTGGACAGCAGTAGCCCAGCAGCAGGACTGTGCTTGAGAGCCATGAGGATCGTGTCACCCTTTTGGATGGAAACGGTGCCTTGGAAGCGTCCCCTCTTGGAGTTACCCCCACATTTTCCTCCATCCACCACGCCACCCCCAAGCAGGCCTGGCTGTCTGCCAGTGGACACTTCCCCTTTTTCCTTGGCCACAGCCTTGGGTTGGGGCCGCTGGAGGGTGTGGGTCCTAAGTGAGGGTAGCAGGACGATTTCAGGGGCGCTTCTCGTGCAGCACGGAGATGCTGCAGCTGTTTTCACACCAGGAGTTAATCAGCCTCGGGATGAGGAGGAAAGAAAGCAGGACTTTCATGCTTTCAGATTTCACAGACCCCTCCTCCGTGAGGACTTCCCTGCTTACGCCCTTCCCTTCTAGAGAAAGGCTGGCAAGTCCCCAGCCTCTGACAGTCGGGCTGCCCTGCACTTGAAACTTCTGTCCTCCAACCATCCTTACTGTTCCAGAAGCGTCTGGAGTCTGGGTGCATTTTACCAGCAAGGACGCGGGTCACTATCATCAGCCATAATCAATATGCATCGCTGCTCTCCAAACGCCAGGCTTTGAGGCTTTTTATTTATGTTCCTGCAGAGAGGCACTCTCAGGCTTCTGTTCCTAATTCATTTAGATGCCTTTTCTTTTTTCTCATCTCTCTCTCTCTCTCTCTCTCTCTCTCTCTCTCTCTCTCTCTCTCTCTCTCTCCCATTCCTTGGCTCAAATAGTAATTTCCATCATATTCTGCAGACGCTTCAGAACAGGCATCCGGAGCTCTAACTTCCAGACTGAAAATTAAATTAATTTAATAATCCTCCCAAATTGTATCCAAAAACCATAGATTGGTTCTCCCCACATGAGAGATCAACTGTGCCTCTGTTGCTTTGTTGCCTACATGATCAAGTCCTCCCCTATTATCATAAGTCAGATGCTTCTTCTATCACTCTGCAGTGTGCTTTGTGGAGAGAGCATCTCTTCTTTATTTTTTTGGTCTCTGCTGGTGCCTCTCCTTGTGTCAGTGCAGTTGAGAGTCTGGCATGTCATCTGCATGGTGGCTGTGACTGCAGCTATAGAGACTAGCCGCTTTTGTGGCAGCCGTGGCAATTGCGGTGGCTAGGGTGGACTACCCACGTGGAAATGGTGTCTTTGGTGTGCTGTTTACCTGGGTGCAGCTGGGTTCGGCTCACCCCCCCCCCAACCCCTGCCACCTCTCTGAAGCATCTTTTGAAGGCTGTGAATGTGGCCCTCAGAGGAATGTAGAACTCATTGCGGGGATGGGGGCGGGCAACCATTATCAATGCACCCAAATGGCAAATTTGTGTGTTTCAACCTAACTCTTCGTAGCTCCCAGCCTCCTGCTGGACCCGCTCTGTCTCTTCAGTTTTTAAGGGCTAATTCATCTGACTTTGGGCTATTCATACCCTGCTCTCCAAACCAGTAATACAGCAGCCCCCCTCCTTATCCCCCAATAATACTTTCTAAGTCCCAGACTGGATCCCTAAAACCGTGTATAGTACCAAACCCCAAATCCTATATACACTATGATTTTTCCTATACATACACACCTATGATAAAGCTACTTTTATAAATTAGGCACAGTAAGAGATTAACAGTAACTAAGAATCAAATAGGACAATTATAGCAACGTCTATAATAAAAGTTATATGAACGTGGTCTTTCTCTCTCTCTCTCTCAGGGTATCGTAATATTTTTGGATCGTGGCTGACCTCGGGTAACCGCAACCACAGAGAGCAAAAGCACGGATCAGAGGGGATTACTGTATATACACACTGCACATATGTGCCATACACGTATATATTGAAACCACAGGTAACGTATATGTATCTTTTTTTTTTTTTTAAAAGATGACTGGTAAGGGGGTCTTAACCCTTGACTTGGTGTTGTCAGCACCACGCTCACTCAGTGAGCAACCGGCCATCCCTATATGGGATCCGAACCCGTGGCCCTGGTGTTATCAGCACCACACTCTACCGAGTGAGCCACGGGCCGGCCCTAACATATATGTATCTTGCATGTAGGTGCATTATATGTATATATTCCCCCCAAACGCACTCACATGTGCACATGCATCATTACAGACCAGGCTTTCTTCCTACTTTCTTGGGAGAATCCTTCGTTTTTGCCTGCTGGGCTGTGTTGACTAACCTAGGTAATGGGTCTAAATGCAGAACTGAAAATCCCAAGGGACTGATGAAAAGTAAACTACACATGAATGAAGTCACAGAAAGAAAAGTATTTGAGGGACGAGGTTCGGAAAGGACCACTTTCCACAAGTCTTCTTTGCAGGAAGGAGAAGATGCCTAGAGAGAAATTTTGGAAGTCTGTCTGAGTTGTGTGATGCCGAGCACTGAGTTTGGGGACATCTGTTCCAGGACCAAAGAGGAGGGTCTTTCCTCTGCTTCCCCCTTGCTTTGGTTCAGATTGCCCATATTTTTGTCTTTGCTGTTGTTGCTGTCTGGGTTGTGCCATTTGGGAGGGGCGGTGGCTGTGTCTTGGTGCCATCAGCAATGGCAGATCTCTTTGGTGGGTTTTGCCATTGTGTTTCTCTCCGTAGCTGGGACCCTACAGTCCCTCCAGTGTCGGGGAGTCAGAGTGGCTTTCCATTTAGAAACCAAGAGAAGGGTTTGGTGCGGCAGGAGGGAGCCTACCTGGAGACCAGGTGCACGGGGCTGGAACTGCACGGGCTGGCTTAGGCTGTTGCCCCCTCCCAAAGATTCATGTTCAGTGCTCGGCTCTGGGCAGACGGGTCAAAAGAAGTATCCATCACTTCCTCTTAGGTCCCACAGTGTATTTGTCTGCTAGGGCCACCATAACAAAGTACCCCAGCCTGGGCAGCTTAAACAACAGACATTTATTCTCTCCCAGTCCTGGAGGCTGGAAGTCTGAGATCAAGGTGTGGCAGGGCTGGTTCCTCCTGAATCTTCTCTCCTTGACTTGTAGACCCTGTCTTCTCCTTGTGTCCTCACATGGTCGTCCCTTTGTGTGTCTGTGTCCTAATCTCTTCCTATAGGGACACCAGTCCTATTGGATTGGGGCCCACCTTCGTGACCTCATTTTACCTTAATCACCTCTTTAAAGACCTATCTTCAAATACATTCACATTCTGAGTTCTATGGGTTAGGACTTTGACCTATGAATTTTGAGGAGACCTCCAAACACATGGGGGTTAAGTCCACAAATCGATGTACAGGAAGTTCACTGTCTGAGATGTGCACACCCCCCTCTGCAGGTGAAAACCTTCTGGACAGGTGAAGGAAGACACCAGTCACCAAAATGCCCTCTTGTGCTCACACACATCTCATAAAATAGGCTGTTAGGTCTCCTTTCTTTCAAGCAGATTCTAATGAGCCAATTAAATGATTTCTACTAAAGTTTGGCCAAGAGCAGAGTCTTAATTTCAGTGTTTTTAGAATATAGAATAGGAATATTGATTTAAAAAATAATAACTACTTCAAAACAAATAAATAAGTAAATAAAGGATTTTGTTAGACCCCAAGGAAAGCATTTGACAAGTTTGTTTTCTTTCTCTCACCTCCCTCCCCCGTCCTCCCCAAGCCAAGCTTGGAGACAGTGCTGGGACAGGAAGAAAAAAATGTCACCTCTGCTGCTGGCCTGACTTTGAGTCGACGACATAAGAAAGAGTACAAAAGTCCAATAACTTTTCAAAAAAATATTTGGAAGCAAACCAAGGAGCTTAAGCATAACTTTCACAGAGAATGCACTCTTGTAAGAATTGGGGTTTGAAGGTACGCTATCCGTGTGTCGTAGGAAAACCAAAAGATAACAGATAATGCCAATGTATCAGTCTGTGTCTGCTGCTTATAACAGAATATCTGGAATTGGGTAATTTATTGAAGAAATGGAATTTATTTCTTACAGTTTGAAGGCTGGGAAGTTCACAGTGCACGGGATACATCTGGTGAAGGCTTTGTTCTTGGGGGTGAGCTTCTAACATGAGCAGAGTGTCACATGGGGAGAATGGGCTGAGCAAGAGATAGCTCACCTGCTCACTTGCTGTCCTTATAAGGCCACCAGAACCACGCCCATTATTGCATGACTGGATCAATCCACTCACGAGGACACAGTCCTCACAATCCAATCACCTCTTAAAGACCCCACCTTTCAAATACAATAGTTGGATTTCCCTCCCTTTTAACACTGTTACAGTGGGGGTCACATTTCTAATACATGAACTTTTGTGGGACAAACCTAACCCATAGCAGTCGGGAACCTCAGGCAGTGGTTAAACCATCCTTTGCAAATGGGAGCTGTGGGAAACAACTCTCACATCTAAGGTTGGGGGAGTTGATTGCAGAACAACATCTGTACATCAAAAGTATTTTTTAAATAGATAAGTAAACAGGGAGAAAAGGCAAATCTCCCATGCAGAATTTTCCCTAATAATTGATGTAGATACTCTAACTCTTCCCAGGAGGTGAAACACAACTTCCAACCTTTTGGGGGTAACTTTCCTTTAGAGAAGTCTGACAAATGGTACTCAGACAGGTGGTTCAGGGTTAAATTCAACAGTGATGTTGTCTTGAGATGATGTGATAAAAATGGCACTTTATCTCTGTGGTCTTCCTCCTAAAAATCTTAAAAATCCATAACCACAGGCTCATAATGTAAAAACACCAAACAATTCCCAGTAGAAGGACGTTCTACACAATACCTAGCCAGTCCTCCCCAAAACAGTCAAGGTCATCAAAAACAAGGAAAGCCTGAGAAACTGTCACACCCAGAGGAGATTAAGAAAACATGACACTAAATATAATGTGGGATCCTGGCACAGAAAAAAGACATGAGGGGAAAACCAAAGATTCTGAATAAAGTTGGAGTTTAGCCAATAAAAGTGTATCAATATGAGCTCATTAGTTCATTCCGTTGTGACAAATGTACCACATTAATGTAAGAATCAAATAAGAGGGGAAACTAGGTATACGGGTATTCTCTGTACGATTGTCACCGTTATGCTAAAAAACTAAAACTATTCTGAAAATAAAAGTTTATTTAAAAATTTTAAAAGAATATTATTTACAGCAGCAAATTAATAAAAACAGACAAGCAAAAAACCAAGTTCAGGAACTGGGAAAATCAATTTCTAACAGGAAACTATGCATCTACTTGAAAGCATTGTAGAAGAATATTTAATGTCTTATGAATACTCAAATAAGAAAGGCCCAGCCTAAACCAATACATTCTACATACAGCATAGTGAAAAAAAAAAAAAAATACCAGGATACACATCAAACCTTTAGTGGGGTATTTCCCATATTCTGGGAATGTTTTTCGTTATCTGTACTTTCTGAATTTTCTACACTGATTCTGTATTACTTTTGAACTAGGGGTCAACATATTTTAAAATTGTAAGAGTGAAAATTTGCAGAGTGCTCTTGAATGTGGGCTAAGCTCAGGAGGGCATGCCTGGAATACGATGGTAACTTAACAGGGTGAAGCTTCTTCCTTCTAGACATGTAAACCGTGTGAACAGACAGAAGGGCTGTCAGTAACCTGAAGCCCAGAACACAGATGAGCAAAGCTTCCGCCTGGAGTTAGCAGAAAATTTCAAACATTGTTTGGGAGAAAGAAGTGTGTAGGGTCAGGTTCCCCAGATGGTTATGGGGATCCTAGTGCAAGTGAGTTATTGAGGGAGAGCTCCCAGGAGAGGAAAAATGGTGGTGGTGTCAACTGGGGACCACACTTGGCTTGACCCCCCTGGGTACTCAGAAGTGTGGATTGTATCTTCTGAAGTCAAGAGGGTCGACTGCCTTTTGCCTACTCAGGATTACCAGTCGATGGGTATGAAATGCCCTCCCATCTCGGGGAGATGGCATGGGTATTACATGTAGGATCAAGTGGCTTTTCTTTACGCAGGGCAATTCTGTCAAGAATGAACAGCGGTAAACTATTAGCAGCCAATAGCAGTTCATAGCAAGTGGTTTTGGATGCCTAGCCTTGGTGGGCCATCAACAATGTCCACTACCAGACATCAAGGGGCATCAAAGTGTGGTCGCCTCCAAGCTGGGCCCATTTGGAGGCAGGGGCAGTCCATCAGGCCTTACCATGCTCTTAATTAAATCATCTCAAACTTTTTCTGCCCTGTGCTCTGTGACATCTGTTGTAAGCTGGATTATGTCCACCAAAAAGATATTTTCAAATCTTAACCCCCAGTACCTGTGAATGTGACCTTATTTGGAAAAAAGTATTTGCAGAAATAGCATGAAAAAAGGGGTATAGAAAAGGGTATTTATTTAGTTAAAATAAGGTTATATTGGATTAGGGTGGTGTCTGGTGTCCTCATATGAAAAGGAAGAATAACACAGACACAGAGGAGAAGCCACATGAAGATGGAGGCAGAGACTGGAGTGATGTGGCCACAGGCCCTGGGACACCTGGAGCCACCAGGAGCTGGAAGAGGCAGGAAGGATCCTCCCCTGGAGCCTCTGGAGGGAGCACGGCCCTGCCACACCTGGATCTCAGACTTCTGCCTCCAGAACTGGGAGAGAGTAAATTTCTGTCATTTTAAGCCACCCAGTTGGTGGTACTTTGTTATGTTAGCCCTAAAGAACCTAATACTCCATTCTGAACACCCTGCTTTTCAACTGCTATTTTGGTTCCTACAACGTTGGAGGTACTGGAGAGAGATTTCTCCCACTACAAATTGCTAGATGGACGTTTTGATAATAAATGCAGTCATGGAAGTAGATTCCACCCTGGGAAAGGAGAGGATTCAATCACAGTTCTATTCTCATGAGAACCTTAGTTCTTTTAGCTGGCAGACTGACACCCCAGTAAGATCAAGTTCTTTTACCATGAAAGAAGGGATAAAGGATATGGGATGGGGAATTCACAGTCTTACAAGTTAGCTAGGTGAATTGATGAATGGATGGACAGATGGGTGGAAGGGTTGATGGATCAATGTATGAATGAGTGAATAGATGGGAGACTAGTGGATCAATGGGTGGATGAATGGATGAGTTGGTGGTTGGGTTGATGGATGGATGGATGGATGGATGTGTGGGTGGATGAATGGATGAGTGGATAAATGGATAGATGTATAGATGGATGGGTGGATAGATGGATGGATAAATGGATGGGTGGATGGGTAACTGTATGGGTGGATGGATGGATGGATGGATGGATAAATGGATGGGTGGATGGGTAAATGGATGGGTGGATGGGTAAGTGTATGGATGGATGGATGGATGGATGGATGGATAAATGGATGGGTGGATGGGTGGGTGGATGGATGGATGGATAAATGGGTAGATAAATGGATGGATGGATGATGGGGGATGGGGGATGGGTGGGTGGAGAGATGGATGGATAGACAGATGGGTGGATGGATGGATGGATAAATGGGTAGATAAAAGGACGGATGGATGATGAGGCATGGGGCATGGGTAGATGGGTGAGTGGATAGATAGGTGGGTAGGTGAATGTACGGATGGATGAAGGAGTGGGTGTGCAGTGGGTGAGTGGGTCTATGTGTGGGTGGATGAGTGGGTAAATAGGTGAGTGGGTGGATATTTTTAGTCCCTGGTCACTCCAAATTGTGTCCACCAGACTTTCTCCTGATATCTAGATTATTTTCCTCATGTTTTTTCTCCCCAATTTCCTTGAGAGCTCCATTCTCGGTGACTCCTTTGCATGGTTATTCATTTAACAAAGTGTCTTGAGTGTTTACTCTGTGGGATATGACAGAGAAATCAAATAGCCATGGCTCTGCCTCTGTGTGCAGTAAGTGTTTATTTTAATAGCCCTTAATTTACGTTTATTTATTTGTGCTTATCTGAGTTTCTCGATAAGCTGTGAGCATTTTTACATTTGTTTCTACCTCAGCACCTGGCTGAGAGCCCAAAAAAGACGGCTTTTTAAATGCTTAATTACTCAATTGAATGCATGCAAAACAAAAATTAGCTCACCATAAAACACTAAGCATTTACATATTGAAGCTTACCTTTTTCTTTGTCATACAAGGACGTGCACATGCAGACACACATTTACAGTGTACATGTATATGTATGTGCCATGGACACCCCCAAAGTTTATATGTTGAAATCTTGACCCCAGTGTGGCTGTTGTTTGAATAAGGAGATAATTAAATTTAAATGAGGTTATAAAGGTAGGGCACTATTCTGATAGATTAGCTATTTGTCTGATTAGTGCCCTTATAGGTGGAGACACTGGACGGCTTGCTCCCTCTCTCTGCCATGTGAAAACACAAGCCAGGAAGACAGCCCTCACCAGCAACCAAATCAACCAGCACCTTGACCTTGGACTTCCCAGCTTCCAGAACAGTGAGAAAATAAATTTCTTTGTTTAAGTCATCCACTCTTTGGTAGCTTGTTACGGCAGCATATGGAGACTAATACAATATACCTACACCTGTATTTACATATATATCCCTGTCCATCTGTCCATCCAGCCAGCCAGCCCTCTCTCACATACATGGTGTCCATCTTATGTTCTTTCTGCTTTCTTCCATAGTAAGGAACCTTGATTTTATTGATGTTGGCAATGTGCCCACTAAAAGATTATTCCCCTAGTTTTTATTGCACTTAGGTGTGCCAAACAAGTTCTAATCAATAAAATAAATGTAAGTAAAAGTTGTGGAGTAAAACTTCTGAGAAGTTCCTTAAAAGTGGGGCAGATTTACCAAAAGCCACTTTTAGCCTTCACTCTTTGCCTGCCTGGAATAATGATGTGATGCCTGGAATACCAGCAGCTACTTTGGAACAGGAGGTCCCCTGGAGGATAGAAGGCACACTCTAGCAATGGCAGAACCTATAGAGCAATGCCATCAGGGTGGTCGATGACATTGCAGAACGGCCATACCTCTGTCTTGGACTTCTTTTACGGGACAAAGAAGTAAGCTTTTCACTTACCTTTTTCTAAAGTCAGGTTTGTTTCAGTCTTATTCAAATCACTTTATGTATGTATGTATTTATATATATATATGTATGTATGTATGTATGTATTGTCTCTATCAGCAGAAGCTGAGCCCGTATTATAATACAGACCTACTATGAGGTCCTTGTGGAAAGCCAAACCAGTCAAGAGGTATCTTAGCACCACACACAATGCCTGGTGCACAGATGCCCAAGAGACATTTTCTTAAACACTGGAAGGGTAGATAGACAGATGGGTGGACAGTGGGTGTGTGGATGGGTGAATGGGTGGATGGGTGGATGGGTGGATATAGAGGCAGGTGGATATGTGATGGGTGGGTGGATGGATGGATGGATGGATGCTGGATGTACAGATGGATGTACAGATGGACAGATGGATGGATAAATTAATGGATAGGTGGATAAATAGACAAGTGAGTAGGTAAATGGACAGATAAATGAATGGGTGGGTGGATGGGGGTATAAATGGATAGGTGAGTGGGTAAGAGGGTGGGTGAATGAGTGATGAGTGTCTGGATAGATGTGTGTGGATAAGTGGATGGACGGATGGACAAGTGGGTAGATAAATGAACAGATATAAGTGTGGTTGGGAGACGGGTGGATAAATGTATGGATAGATAAGTGTGTGGGTAAGTGGACGGATGGGCGGATGAACGGATGGGTGGATGGTGGTAAATGAAGGAACAGACAAACGGAGGAGGAAGTGGGTGGATGGTGGATAGATAGATGGGCAGGTGGATGGACAAAGAAGCTGAATCTTTTACCTAACATTTTTTTTTCACTCTCTTATATCTTATGAAGTGTTCACACATTGGAAGACAACTGTGAAGCAATGATATTGGACTCATTAGTTCCCTTCTGCTGATGAGGAAACATCCTGGGGCCACAGAGCTCACCAGTGGTGTGCTGGGACTAAACCCAAGAGCTCTTTGTGACTCTATGTCCAGGACATTTTGACCACATTGTCTCTTGACTGCCTCGAAACCACTGGCTCTTTCTCAGAGTGTTTACAGCAGCCAAAGATAAACAGCCTGCGAAAGCCTAGAGAACATCACGGTTTGTGCCCATCAGTGGCCCAAACCATTTTTAAAACAGTAATTTATTTAATTTAACAAAAGCTTGATTGTGAGCCAGATGGGTGTCTTTTTTTTTTTTTTCCTCTTAACTGTAACATAGGTCGGGCCTTCTGCAGAAATTAAGACATGCAGTTAAGCTGCATAATATAAAAACCACTGCTTTGTTAATGGAGCTCATGACCCTCATGGTTAGTTAGTCTTGGAGTGAGGAAAGAATCAACTTCCCAGAATTCTGTACTTAAAACATGAATCTTGTTTTCCTCTAAGTCTGTGAAGATAAATAAACAAGCTTGTCGGTTAGAGCTGTGTGGTCTGGGAGGACTGTGTCCAGGGCTTGGGGTTGAGTCCTGACCATGACAAGTGTTGGTTATGGTGATCACGGCGATGGGCTGGAGGGAACTGTCCTAGAGTGTCAGAAACACAGAAGGTGGCAGAAGAGCTGCTTGAATTTATGTCTCTTTATTTGTGTTTATCTGAGCCTCCCAGTAAGCTGTGAGCAGTCGCACCTTTGTTCCTGCTGCAGTGCCTGGCTGACAGCCCAACGTGATGACTGGGCCTTTCATATGCTTAACTGCTCAACTGAATGCATGAAAATCAAATGTGAGCTCACTACAACATTCTATGCAATAAATAATAAAGATGCTTAGCTTCTTTCTTTTGCCTACAAATACACACACACACATACACTATACATGTATATGTATGAAAATGGTACATGACAAAACTTAATATATATATGAATTCCAAATGTCTGTCTGTTCCAATTACTGAGTGTAACAAACTACCCCAAAGCTTAGTGGTTTAAAAGAGCCACTGTGGGGCCGGCCCGTGGCTCACTCGGGAGAGTGCGGTGCTGATAACACCAAGGCCACGGGCTCGGATCCCTAAATAGTGATGGCCGTTTAGCTCACTTGGGAGAGCGTGCTGCTGACAACACCAAGTCAAGGGTTAAGATCCCCTTACCGGTCATCTTAAAAAAAAAAAGAGAGAGAAAGCCACTGTATGTATTTTGCTCATAAATCTGCTATGTGGACAGGACTCAGCCAGGGTGACTCTCTGCTCCACTAGAAGGTGGAGGCTAACATCGCTGAGATCTTGCTCATTCAAATTTCTGATGCTTAAGGAAGGCCGTTGACTGAAACCAGTACTAGGTATTTGGTTTATGGGACTCCGTGCAGAATAAAAACATGGGGCCACTTACCCAGACTTTATTAAGAATCTCAAGATGGCAACAGCTTAGTTCTGGAAGAGTGTGTGGTCATTTTTGAGAAATGTAATCTGCTCCGACAACAATATGTGCATCATAGCTGCAGAGCTGGCTTAAGCTTATTCTAGCACCCTAACATAAAACCACGTGAAAATGATGTTTGTTTACTCAAAAACATTTATTTAGCAAATACAGTGTTGCAGATCTTATCCTAGGTGCTGAGCATGCAAAGGCGAGAGAGTCCTTTGATTTTTTTCTCATTAAATAACCCCATTGGTGTATTCGGAGATCGCAAAAATACACAATGTGATGTGTCCTGTAGACGATGTATACAGAGCACTGTGGGAGGAAAATGGAGAAATGTGGAGATCACATGGAATGGTTCAGATATGTTTCACTCAAGAGACTGCATTTCAGCTGGGTCTTGTAGAACACATAGGAGTTTTCCAGATAGAGAATGAGCAGGAATGGATTCCGGAGAGTACACCTGCCTGAGCAAAGACACAGGTTTTGGGAGAGAAAGATCGGTGACGTGTATGGGTAGGAAGGGAGTTGGAAGGTGAAGAAAGAAAGTTAGCCTGGGACCAGGTGGGAACAGACTTTGCATGCCCTAACAAGTGGAGCCAACTTAATGCTGAGAGTGATGGGGAAACCCAGAAAAGATTTAAGATGGACCATGGCAGGCCCAAACCCAGTTCAGAATTTAGCTCTGAAGGCAGAATAAAGTGTGGTGTGGTGGTTAATTTTATGTGTCTACTTGACTGGGCTAAGACTGCCCAGATAGCTGGTAAAAAAAAAAAAAAACATTACTTCTGGGTGTGTCTGTGTGTGCCCATGTGGATGTTTCTGGAGGAGATCCATTTGTAAATCTCCTTTGATATATGTATGCATATCCTATTAATTCTGTTTCTCTGGAGAACCTGACTAATCCACGTGGGTTCATGGAGGGAAAGAGAAATAGGGCAAAATCTGGAAGGTGCCTGAGTCTGTGCAGAGAGAGATTGTGAGAGTGTTGAATAGAACTGTGGTGTATGAAATAAAGAGAAGAGGACCAATTCCAGAGACCTCTGCAAGGGAGAAATTCATCATTATCCTTGTACTATTATTATTATGTTTGTTCAGAGCATGGTTATTTATGAGCAGAGGAAAGAGCATGAGACTATAAAGACCCATTCTTTTCGATGACTTATAACAAAAGGATGGTCATACATTTTTTTACAAGGGTTGGTGGTTTCCGTAATATGTGCTGTGGGCAGAAAGAATTTGGCAGGAGTCCACAAGAAAGACAACCCGCCTCTCAGTGGAACGTTTTCCCTGTGAGACGTTCCTGTCTCAGGGAGTGTCAATACCCTAGTGACCCATCTGTGAATCCAGCCCACAGGGCCAGAGACAAGGTACCTTGATACCTTGGCAATTCCTTCTCATTGAAGACCCTCGGACCCCACAAGATTATCTTAAAACAAGATCAAATCTTCAAATCTAATAAAGCTTCAATTTGAATTGCAGTTGTCCATCCCACTTATAAGCTCTTAAGGGCAAAGTTTGCACTGGACAAAGCTCATCTCACTGAAAAAGTTTGAGGTCTGTACTGAGAGGCTGAATGCCATTCAGAAATGAACAAAAAAACTGGGAAATGTGAATTATGATTCCTCTTGCAAACCCAGATGGCTGTCCCAGCTGGTGAGTCCTAAAAATACACTGTGGGCGAGTGGTTTCATGGCTGTCCCCTGCATCTGCCCAGTTTACCCTTCACAGGAACTGGGTGCATTGGAGTTCCCCGGCTGCCATATGCATGAGTGTCAGCTGTCCTGTCAGAGGATAAGAGATCACACGGGTTTGAGTCAAGCTGTCCCAACTGAATGATCCAAACCAGCCCTTCCACAGACACCCAGCAACTGACTGCTGACTCAGGAGTGACTCCAGCTGACAACAGAGCCGCCTGGCTGAGCCCAACCCCAATAGCCAAGCCTCAGAATCATGAGTAAAATAAATGGTCATCGTTTCAAGCCACCACATTTGAGGAATGGTCTGTCATGCTGCAGAAGCGAACAGCTGCATATGATGAGTTGCCCAAACCCCGTACTTCTCCTTTTCAAGACAGACCTTGCTAAGAATTGTCCAAGTCCTCAACACTCTTCAGGGAAACGTTGAGGGACAAAAACATAAACTCATCTCTGAGGAGTCTACAGTTCCTTTGGGTTTGGAGAAAGGGTAAGTACAGAAATATGTTCCATTCATTATTGTGAACTGATACTCTGTCTTTTATTTCCATGTTTAATCATCTGTGGTATGTGAAAGTCAAACCGGCTACTCTGTGGTTTGTAGGTTCATCTGAGATTGAAGGAGTATTCCTGAGTTGGTCTAGGTTGGTCACCTATGTGCAGACAAAATCCAACAGGATCCAGTAAATAGCCGCTTGGATTATAGGATACGTATTTCCTTTTTTCTACCTCTCTAGCACTTTAAATTGGACAGTTTGGAAGTTCAGCATTTACCGTGCATTTTACATCCTCTGTCCTTTGAATCATTATAGTCTTATGAGGAAGTTATTAACATCCCTGTTACAAAAACAAGGAAGTGAACCCAAGCCAGTTGACTTACCACTTGAAACTGAAAGAGTTACAACCCCGACACATTCCACCTGCATGTTCTTGGGATCAGCCAATAAATAAACCACATTTCAATCAATGTGTGTATATGTGTGTGTGTGTGTTTACACATACACCATTTTTTTCTGATATCATGATGGGTCCTTGTCAACAGTTAACCCCTATTTCAAACAAGCCAGGAGGTTTTCTACTCAACACAGTAAAGTTGCCTCTATGAGTGATAATGCTAAGTCAAGTTCAGAGATGAAGATGGGCTACTTTGTGGTTACAGACATGGTTGTTTAATAATGCCAAAGGAAATTTAGATTTCAAAATACAGTAAGATATATACAATATACCATTGTCCCAAATTGTACTCAGCATGAATTTTAGAAATTAAGATTTTTTTTTTTACTTTGTATTTTGAAATAATTGTAGACTCCCAGGAAGTTGCAAGATGCAAGACCAGCACCTAAAGTCCCATGTACCCTGAACCCAACTTCCCCCCTTTGGGGACATTGTACATTATGGCTCCCATAAAACATCAAAGTCAGGACATTAACATTGGTGTATTCCTCTTAAGGAGAATACAAACCTCGTTCAGTTTTCACCAATTCAATCAGCTTTAAGTCAACATAGTTCCATCACCTCCAAATAACACAAAGCATTACAGAGGATTCATAATTTATCAGCCAATCAAAAAATGTTCGTGGAATGCCAACTCTATAGTAAGTTCTGGGAGAAATTCCCAACACATGTTCAATACGTTCACGTTGCCAAGTCTTACATCTTGAGGGGTGAGAGATCCCTTGTAGATTTATGGTAAAGGGTCCTTTTGTTCCATCCCACATGCAGCAGAGAACGTTTCCCCTGTTTCCAGGAACTGTTACTGGGAAAAAACTTACATTCCCCTGAGTCAGTTTCAGCAGCTCTGGTTTATTCACAGGGGCACACAAATAAAGGTGGACATGAAATAGCCCCATTAAAACCATCCCACTTTTTGGGGGGGTTTTTTTTTTTTTTGGATTCCTCATATGAATGAGATCGTATGGTATTTGTCTTTTATGCCTGGCTTACTTCGCTTAACATAATGGTCTCCAGTTCCATCTATGTTGCAGCAAATAACAGGACTTCATTCTTTTTTATGGCTAATTAATATTCCATTATGTAAATATAGGACATTATTAAAATCCATTCATCCATTGATGGACATTTAGGTTGATTCTTCTCTGTTGTGAATAGGGCTACAATAAACTTAGGAATGCAGGTGTCTCTTTACTATGTTGATTTTATTTCCTTTGGACATATAACAAGTAGTGGAATTGCTGGGTCATAAGGTAGATTTTTTCTAGTTTTTTGAGGAACCTCTATACTGTTTTCTGTAATGGCTGTATTAATTTATGTTACAACCAGCAATGTGAGAGAGTTCCCTTTCCTCTGCATCTCACCAGCATTTGTTATTTTCTGTCTATTTGATAATAGTAAAATGCTTGTTACCAGAGGCTGG